TTGCCAAATTTAAAAACAAAATGTATCGTGTCTAACAATTATTATTAAGCTGGATGATTTAAAACCCATAATAATGCTATAAGGAAGATGTGACGGGCAGCGGCGACGATAAACACCATAGACGACTGACTATAATACTGCCGCTATGTTTAAGAATTTCGACTCCTTCATTTTACTGTATTATTATGTATTAAAATTATTATTATCATTACTATTATTTACAAAGTGCCACGACACGACTGTCATTATGATAATATTATGTTGTATTATAATTATTAAGTATTGTGGCACATAGGTGAATGCGAGCGATTCAACAGCACTCCCTTTAGAGATGTCATACCGCTACGTACAAAAGAGCCCCGCGTAAGATTAATTAATTTTCAAGCTAATTAAGAGTATTGCGGTAGTATATATACAATATATAGGGTAAACTACTAGCAGTACTCAAGTCTTGAAAACTATTTGGCTATATTAAAAAAAAAAACTTGAGATGATGGATTGATATGATATGGGTTTTTAACAAAGTAATTTAGGTTAATAAAATAAGAATATGTTTAATACAACTTTTGTAAATAAACCCTTAGGACTCACAGACCATATGATTTGTCGACCCAAATGAAAAGAAACAATGATTATGGCACGCGGCGTCACTGTACCTGATGCGGATAGAATGACGCGTGCGGCCAGTGGCATCGTACTCTACAACAACGGGGGACGATACGTACGAAGGGCAATGCGGCAGCCGTCAGCGTGGTGACTGGCAGTCGTATGGCGGGCTGCAGTGTGGCCAGCTGGAAGGTAGCTGTGGCCGCGGCGGCGGCAGCCGGCGACGGGTTGGCGTGCAGGTCGATTGGGCTGCCGCCGTCCAGCGACCGGCTGCGGGGCTTGTTGATGACCGGCGGCGCCACCGACGGGTCCTGCTGTTGGCTGAACATCCATCGGAAATACCAGGACATGGCACGGGCATATTGCGCCCCGGTCCGAAAGAGAGTTTTGACTGGACACCGACACGCACTCGCGAGGTTAAATATTGAAACGATATAATACAACATATATTGACAAGGTAGATGAGGAGAAAAAGACTAACAACACATTACACAACAAACACCCGTATCGCGGACGGATACGGACCAACTGGCTGCCCAACAGAATATAGTTAGTACGTGCGACGCCGGCGACGGTTGCGGCTGCGGCAAGGATGGAACTGTGAAAATATATTTATTATGGGAGGGAACCGGTTCCCGTAAATTAAACGTAAAAAAAAAATAATAACACTATCCGTAGAGAAACAAAACTAAATATTATAAATAATAAAATTCGTATATATTGTGTGCGGAGTAATGGTACACGACCGGACCCGAAAGTCCTTGGTGGGGACTCTACAACATGATATTATATTATACAAATACACGTTTTTCATCATAATATATATATATATATATATATAAAACGACATTACGGATAATTAGTCGATGCGGATCGCAAGGTCTTTCGTGACACTTTCACTAAACATCGACCCCCCTCCTATTTTCATACACGGTAAATAATGCACACAAATAATGTACACAAGCTCAAGTACATGCGTGCGCGTGACAACAATATCAGTTGTACAACCTAAAAAGTAGCGGTGCTGATCTTCACAGTTTAACAAAAATGTAGAGTACAAGTAAATGTTTTTCTTCTTTTTTTGCCCACTTGTGCGCAACACCGGTTGGATGGGCGATGACATAAAATTGGGTCAGTAAGTCCAACGGACGGCCGGTCCGCAAACCGGTTGTTGTGTCATCGCGAGAAGCCTTCCTCCCTCTACTCACCTCGCGGTCGTTGTGTTATTATAACATACACACGTTTTATATGCATACAAATACATTCCTTCCAAAAACGCACGAATAAGAACGATAACATAGCATTGACTGAAGGAAATATAAATGAATCGGTTGTCCGGTAAACCGAATAAGAAGTGAAAAAAACGTCAGTTTTCTCCGTTCAACGGAAAAACATTGAATCGTCCATAACGCTATAATAGACGTGGTTACAATCCCTTTCATGGTTCAATGTTTTAAGCGTCAATATTTTACAAATGAAGACTGAAATGCGAAGTCACTTTCTGAAGTGTCTACCAACCCGATTTCAAATTTTTTTTTTATATAAAATTTAACATCCCTTCTATGGAGGCTAAAAAGCCGATTTTTTATTTTTGTTTTCAAAAAAATTTTATAAGCATTTAGATTTTACTTTTTTATAGTTTTTTTTAATAAATCTAACTAATTTTCTAATTGCTAAATCAAAAATCGGCCTTCAGCCCCCATAGTAAAAATAGTAAGCTTCACAAAAAAAAAAAAAATGCAATCTGTCGAATAGATACGGTAGAAAATGACTTCTACTAATGTAATTTTTTATCAAACTTTCGCCATAACTCGGAGAAAAATAACTTTAAAAGTATTACAACTAGAAAAACTTATATTTTTGTCAAATATTGCCTATCCTTTGCCCCTTAGTAAATAGCGCTTTCCTTTTCCCTTTAAGGATTTAACACCGACCATTTTTAATAGTTTTGTATAGGCAATTTATAAGAAAAAAGTGGTTTTAATAAGTTTTGACCATGTCAATTAATTTTACCAGTTAATTTGTAGAAGCTTCATGGTATTATTTTTAATTTAAATAATTTTGTCTATGACTAAAAGCCATTTTAGTTAATATAATAGTACATTTTTTGTCCATCGCACAGGCTGAACCAGTAATCCGATTCTGAGGTACATTTTTGATATCTTTTTCTTACTACGATTAAGAAACGTAAAACGTTTGAACATTTAATAAAAATTTAAGTTTTTAAAATCAAATTTGTAAAGGGTTAAAATTCAAAATTGAAAAAAGTGCCTCGTAGGATCTCAAGTAAACTTCATGAAGAATTCAAATATGTTTTCAAATAACTTATCGGATTACTGGTTATGCCTGTGCGATGTGTTTTGACTGAAAAAACGGCAGGTATCGAATCCCCTTAACATGATTATTATGATACAATTCTATATTTATATTATGATACTATTAAAATGTAATGAACATTTAGTTTTAGTTAACTTATTTTATTTCCATTGCGAAAAATTAAAATGTAATACAATATACGACTGAGTATGAAATTGTATAAACGAATAAATAAATTGAGCAATAATTAAAAGTTCACGCAAATTTTGAATTGCCCCCAGGAAAAAAAACACTTCCATGTTAAAAAAAAAATTACTCCTACACTTAATATATCACTGGTATACATCGTATTGTTATTTGTTATTATATTATGCTGTTGTTGTCACATTGTTGACTGCATGCACTACGCGCTTTAAATCTTAACGTTAAGAGGGCGTCGCACCGCCCATTTTTAAGGAGTAAAGTATAGACAATTTTTTACAAAATCTTAATTTAAAGGTTAAACTGTGATGTGTAATTATTAGTTCAATAACTAGGACTCTATTTTGGTAGTTAATTTATTTTTTGGACTATCACAGCATCCTTGAAAGCGATTTTAAAATGTTTTTTCATCTCTTAAATGTTTAAGAAGACTGAAAATAACTCGCTTAATTTTGGTTTTAGAGTAAACGCACCTATTATAAAATTAAAAGAGAAAAATATTCCGGAGGGCAAGACGATGCGTTTTTTTTATTATTCCAAGTATAACGCTCAATACATAGTTTAGAAATAACGACTATTTTAACAATTTTAAAATGACTGTAATTTTTCAAAAAATGAATTTTTTTTTTTTAAAAGAGTCTTGCCCTCCGGAATATTGTTCTCTTTTAATTTTATAATGGGTGCTTTTACACTAAAACCAAAGTTAAGCGAGTTATTTTCAGTCTGCTTAAACATGTTTTTACCACTGAAAATTACCGGTGCGACACCCTCTTAACTAAAACAGAGAAAAAACAAAAGTTTAAAGGACGGTAATAAATTAATTTAACACGGACACGAACAGAAAACGACCGTAAAATGACCAAACGACAAAATGCAGAGATTTGTTCACATTATTTAGTGATAACCGAGTAGATAATTGAACCACTATTAGTAAATATTAATAAAAATACATCACATTTATAATGATTATTAATTTCACTATTTATAAATTGAAGTAGGAATAATGTACAGTAATGAATAAAAAAAATATACTTTTTGAGAAAACCTTTCAATAAAAATCTGTAGATAATAAAAAATAAATAAAATATCATTAAGACTTAGGACTTCCACATTTTTTTTTAGTAATGTATAGCAATTTTCAGTCTTTTTATAGTAAAACAAATTGTTGAATACAAACACTATATAGACAAAACAAATCAAGGAAAACTTTCCAGAACGTTGTAGCATGCTATAAATACATTTTTAAAGTACATTAATTCTGAGTGTTTTCCAAGATTTTGATGAGAAATGGATGAAGTTTCACATTTTGTTCTAAAAATACCTTAAGTCAATTATTGTAAGCTATGTATCAGTCTTGGGAAGTAGAATAACTACTCTAAATTACTCGTTATAGTAATAATATTAATTTACAGTAATGACATTACCTTTTTTTAAAAGATAGTTTATATTTTTAGGCATTATATTGTCAGAATAAGATTCTAACAATAAAAATATACTTATAATTTATCTTAAGAAAACTAGGTATTTTAGTTTTTATAAGAGAATCAATCTAAAATGAAATTAGTTGAAGGGGAATAGTGTGGCGTAGTAGTTACTTGGAATGTCACTCGGCACCAGAGTTTTAGCGTTAGTGTCAGTTGCTGCTTTTTAGCAGTGACCATTCATTGTCCTTATCGTACATGTTTACACAAACCAAACCAACCAAAAGCTAATGGCCCAAGTTGCCAAGGCTAAAAAATTAATTAAGAAAATAGTCGGGTACTAAACCTATTGCTTCTACAGTAACCACTATCACTGTCCTATGCATTAGTTATATAAAAATATGTTTGAGTTAATGTATACTGCTGACATACTGAAATTATCAGATTAAAACTTACAGCTTTACGTTTGTCTTCAGCTGAAACAGCACTTTGAGATCTATGCCGAAACAAGTCCATCATTTTTGATACAGCTCCTTTTGTACTAGTGCTGTCTGAACCGGCACGTGGTCTTGCAGGTACAGTAGTTTGCTTATAACGATTACGAGTTGCAGGTGGTACTGAATTAGTAGGCTCTGTGTCAGTTGAAGAACTTGATCCGCTAATACTATTTCGAGCACTTGAACCTGGCGATTTGAGAGTTTGCTAAAAAAATAAAACAGGTTCAAATTATTGTCAAAACACTTTTTACATTATTCATTTGAAAAACTAAAAATATTTTGTGATTGTTTTGGTATACTGTAATATATAATTGATAATAGGAAAATAATGATTAAAACAAGCCTTAAGGCATTCGAATTTGAGTATTAACAAATAAAGTATTCTAAATAAATAAAATCATTTTACAATGTTATAATTTGTTATATTCAGTAATTATTAGAGCACTTATGTAAATTAAGTATGATTTATCTTTAATTAGAGATAAGATATCTCCATCAGAAGTACTTGTGTATAAATTGATCAATAAAATACTTTTAATGTGTTTCAACGTTAAATAATTTCACAAAATACTAAATATTAGAATAAAATAATTTATAGTAGTTAACTATTTATTTTGTTTTAAACATATTATTTTGTTAACTATAACATAAATATTTTTAAAGTACAATATGAAACAAACAAGTTAGTTTTAATTAAGATAATACATAATATGATAACACAAAATATGTATTTTAATATTAAATTGGTTGGCTTTTCAGTTTACTACTGTATATTATTTTGGTTATATTTGTGTCAGAGCGATGTTTACTGCATCATTGCTGTGGCTATACTACTATGAACATCGCTCCTGCAATGGTTTTGTAATGTTAGTATAAATATAAAAAATGGATACACTGAAAAAAGTGTAAAGCAATATTAATCCACATTAAAGCTTTAACCAGTCCAAAACTTATTTATACTTTACTTTGGAACTAAAATGTTTTAATGTTGCCGCCAATGCCTATTATCTATTTTGAACTTCATAGTGGCGAAATGTCACTAAAACTCTTCCAATACTTAACTCTATATGCTATTCACTCTTATTATATCCCCTCTTATTTTCAAATCTTATACAATGGTCCTTATGGAGCATTTATTTTTTCGCCAACTGTTCATAAAGTTTATAGGTTTATAACTAAAATTTGTTTATGATTGTCTCCTTGTAATATTGCATCTTTTCCAACTATCATCACCAACAATGTTTTCTTGCAATACATTTTAGCGTAGCCGCAGGCTTACACTTCCTTTTAAAAAATTGTTCATTTTCGACTTTTGCTTCTAGTAGCCCTCACAATCAATATCCCAGCCCTAACCTAACCAAAACTTATTGTTTTCTACAAATATCCATCCTAGAAAAAAAAAAAAATGTTCATTAGATAAAGTCATTAAACTCTTAACTCACTTGAATGGAATTTTTCATTTGTAACATAATTGTGTTGTTCTTTTTAGATGCAGCGTCAGACTTAGACCGAGGTCTAAATGCATCCAGAAGAGCATAAGTTTTACGAGTATGAGATGGCGACTGGCTCGTCCGAGGTTTCGGAGACATTTTTTTTTGTGTACATTGAGAAACGTGTTGCGCTTGCTGTTGTGGCAACTGTGGTTGTTGCAATTTATTTTTTTGCAATTGCACTTTTGGAGTTCCTTTGGCCAATATATCATCACCCGACTGACGCCGTTCTACTCCCAATGAACCTTTTTTAGTTTTGGTCAGGGCAGCAACAACTGCAGGTAAAAGTACAGGGGCTGAACCTCCCTTGCTCCATGTGCCTGTTGAACAACATAATAATATAATACAAAGCACAGTAGCACTAATAGTATATGATTTCTATTAATAAAACAGTGTATATCATTTCAAACAGTATTTTTAAATAAATGCTATAAATGCATTATTAATAAAATTAGAATAGTTGTAAATCTGAAGTCAATAATATTTGTAGACATTACAGGAAAAAACAAATTAAGTAATTTTTTAGAGTTAATATAAAGTTGTTTATTCATTGCCAAGTGTTGCGACTTGGCTGTAATATTACTTAAATCATTTTTAGCCATAAAGTTTATTATTATTACCTTTTGTATTTTACAGACACAAATAAAGTTATAAAGTTACCTGAAAAATCTCTGGCATCTAATTCTAACATTTTGTAATCACAAAACAAAAATGGTTTACATTAAATTTAATCAATAAATATTTAAATATCACACATAAATAATTTATTTTAATGAAGAGAATAATAAATCAAAAAATAATAAAATAGATTGTGCTAAAAGATATACAAGACATTATATGAAAGAATGTTCTAATAAGTCAATCAAGTATAGTTTTCTAGTTGGCCCTGAGTTATCATTGAAATAACAGACTTTTTCTATAATTGGAAATAAAATAATGTGATACAATGAACTGCAATTGTGTTATCAAAGATAACATTTTATAAAGCAGAAGATACTTATCTGTTTCTTATTTATCAGTATTATCAGTAAAAAAAACTATTTAACTAATATTATACATTAAACTGGTTTACTTGCATGCATGATTCTTTATTTTATAACATTTTAAGTTTTATCAAGAAGTAACTATATCCAAGCACTAACCCCAATTTACTTTATTAATCTTACCAGATCTTGGTCGATTAATGGATACACATTGGCCATCAGATTCATCTGCTGAAGTAGGTAATGGCTGTGATCCGAGCTCCTGTTACGAACAACACAAATACCAAATATTAAATGTTGTTAGTTAATTGTTTTAATAAAAAGTTAATGCTAAATTTAATTATTTAGTTAGATGTACTACGTTTTTTTTACCGTATTGTTTAGTTTTAATACATACAATAAACATACAAAGTATTAATAAGATTTATATATTTATTTACCTAACATGATAAATAAAATTTGATGTTGCTATAAATAGTGCACTATTATAGGTCAGTTATGAAGATGTAAAATGTGTGTTTATTGAATGAAGCAATTAGATTAAAAAGAGTACAGTGAAATTTTTTCGAAAAACTAATTTTTCATCTTACAGTATTTATCATTTATGAATGAGATCTACCTTCACCTAGATTTGTTATACCTTTTCCTCAATTTTCGGTAGAGGTTATTCAAAAAAGTATTTAAATATAATTTTTGTTTTATTCTCCTGTAATACTTTTTTTAAATTACATACCTTTTAAAGTTTTATCAATTTAATATTATAAACCTAAATTCTTATTAATTTACTTTATTATTTTAATAATTTATTATACTATATACTTATTCAAATTAGATAAGTTTTCTCATTATTATTAAATATGCAAAATTTAACAGTTAAATGTTCGTAATTTCTAGAATAAAAATCAAACAAACTCTAAGCTAATTGTTAATATTTTGATTAATGCTTCTATCAGGGTTATTTAAATTTTACTCTAATTGACTATAGAGTACAGAATGACTTGGAAACAACCTATTTTGTAATCAAACTTACATTATTTGAATACAAAGACAAAACACTCGTTTCTTTTACATTAAAAAAAAAATATATATATATACATAGATTTTAGCTTCGGTGCGGAGCTGAGAAGGTATTGTTTTTACATGGATGTGTTTTTATTTTTGTGTCTAGACCCACAATATCTCGTAAGCCGCTGAACCGATTTCTTCGTGTAGCAACTCTATAGATCAGAAATCATACCTGAAAGGTACTGAATTGGGCCAAAAATTAAAAAAAGTCACCCCTTCCCCATCAAAATCGAGAAAAACACCCAAAAAATGTACAAATTTTTTAACTTAAAATTACGATGCTCTATAACTTTTTAAAAAATAGTCGAAAAAGTTCCAAATTTATATGAATTGTTCTTCAAACATATAATAGTACTATCGATAAACATTAACAAACCAAAAAAATATTATAAACTCTATCCCCTAGAAGGGATAGAATTTTTTTCTTTATTTCACTTTTTTAAGCAAAGTTTTAGCGATTTAGATCTGAAAATTAGACCGAAGGTAGATCTAAAATGGAACTATAACATATACAATTTTCTCAAAAATCTGTAGTCAAGTTTTTTTTTTTATTAAGGAAAAACACCAAAATTAGGGTAAATTTACACTTTGGCCCTTGTCAGTTTCTACGTTGCTATGTGTGAGTGAATCAACAGTCAACAGGTAATGAAAATATTTTCATTATATTGTTAATTACGATATATGGGTAATTATGACAGTACATTTTTATAGACAGACGATCAACCCTTATCGTATCCACCCTGCATAAGACTAAATATTAAATTTTAAGTACATTATTGCTGGCCCCACGGTATCTTCTAAACCGCTATAACTGGTTTGAACATACTATCCACAGATTCGCATCGAAGCGTTTATTTAAAAGTGATATCACTTTCAGTTATAATAAAATCTGTAGACCTGTGACCTCTCTGTCCCCATTATGCCTCGGCCCCACTGTACTGGCTTTTTTTAAAAAAATAATTTATACTCATTTTCACCGTAGTTTTTATTACACCTGTTTTACTTTTTTAAATAGTTTTTAATTTTTTTTATTACATATTTTTAATTTTTTTCAAGATAGCCATTTTATTAAAAATAATTTTTAAAAAAGAATTGGTGAAAAAAATTTGTATTTTTATTCATCCGTTCAAAAGTCATATTTACCGATTTTACAATAACTTTTTTGTGTAACTACTACTCTTCATGTCAACAGTTTATAAAACAGAAATTATACGCCAAAGGTACTTTAGAAGGTGCTTTTAAAAACTTTTTTATAAGTCATTATATCTATATATTTATATGAATTTTTAAGTAAAAATCAAAATAAATGTTTGTTGATTTATCATACCGTTCGACGTTTTACCGTTTCTGCATCATAGCGCTTAACCCAAACTTCATCCATTGAATCGTAGTCTAAGGTAGATGAAGAAGATGCTTGGGATTTCATTTCAACAAGATTGACATCAAAGAAGTGTTTATCTCTGTGATGGGAAGGGGGTGATATAGGAGGTGTAGATTTAGCACTGACAGTAGTACTATTTGATTGGTCATCAGCTACCGGTGATTTTGGATTATGTTCTAAGTGTTCGTCTTCTTCTTTGCATTCAGAAAGACGTCGTCCAACAAACTGGTGGCTACGAGATGGCAAGCGATTGACGTGGCGTAAGAAATAATGCTGGAACCAATCAGCATCTTCAGGGCTGTCTTGAGCTCCTTTAACAAATAATTGTTGGACATTTAACATCATCATCATACAAGTTTAATAGGTCTTGAAGGCCCAACGCTACCACCATGAGACTAATTCACTGTCCGGGACGGGTTGTCAGTCTGTCGCTGAAGAGGGAGATGGCGGTTCCTTTAAACTAGATGATTTCTCATACAGTAAATGAATCGCTTTTTGTTGAAAGGGCATATTTTACATTTTTTGTTAAATTTTTTTTGCAACTTTCAAATAGTATAAACTTGAATTTAATATTTTTACAGTATCGAAATTTGGTATAAATGCCGAGTACCATGCACGTCATAATGCACATAAAAAAAAAATGATTTACAAAGTTACCACATTTTGAAAGTTATGCAGTATTTTGTCATTTCCCAAAAGTTCACCTGTTGAAACATGTGCCCTTTTAACAAGAAGCGATTCAAATGGTGCCTAACCCACTCGGCCACTCGTCCTCCTCTCGAACATTTAACACACATTTATAATGCAAACAAAAAATAAATTGCCGTATACTAACGACTTAAGTAGGTACTTAATAAGGACATTTGTTCTTCATAACAGAGAACTAGGTAATTGTTTATTATGATGATTGTCTAGAGGCTTTCTAGAATATTTAAATACGTACTACAAGTATTTTAAAAATAAATGAAGCCAGACAATTTTAGTTAGTAAATGATAGTGGATTAAATCAAATGGTTCAAATAGAATGATGAACTACACCAATCAGAGCACAAATTCCAAACAAGATCCATGTGTGGAGGAAAACTATTAATTTAAATATGTTAAGTAATAACTAATAATACTATTTTTATCATTTATGTTTTTTCAAGTATACAAATATATATTTATAAATAAATTATACATTCTACTAATATTGATTTCAAAAATATAATTTACAAATACTCATCATAGAATGGAAGGGAGACTAAGAGGTCTATAGCTCCCCCTACAATTTCCTTTAGCCCCTCCTTTCATGAAAATACATCAATTTTCACATTCATATTACACAGATGGGATTTCCTTCACAAGTCTATATGTTTACAATTTATGTAAACGATATGGCCCCCTCCCCCAGGATAATATCATGCTACGCCTATGTATTTCATAATAAAATCTATATAGTGTAGTTTTTATTATTTATGAGACTAACCAAATATCAATAGTATCAATTATCAAGTTTCCATAAACAGCGTGTAAAACATTTTGAAGATGTTGTGTGCCATAAAGATAATTAACACCATTAAATAAATGCTTAATGATTAATACATTAATTTAGGTTTTCTATTTATAATCATTTAAAAATTAGATTAAGATAAAATAAATCAAGTAGTTCAATTTGTTATTTTCTAACAAATTATATTTGTTATTAATAATGAAACTATAAAAAATTGCCCCTATTAATTCACTGTCAAAATTTATAATATGTAAATAATTACAGTTATTTATGCAATATGCTATTTTTTACCATAATGTAATACTCAAGGCTTATGGTGAACCAAATGAACTCATTGAAATTTGCTGAGTTGCAATATTTTACTTCCTTACAAAACATTTCTGTTTGCTAATAGAAAGAAAAACCAGTGAGATAGCTTAAACAATGAATGTTTCTATAGTAAATAACAATGATATATTCGTATATCATATTGAATATATGATATATTTAACAAAAACTTAATTTGACAATGGTTATCTCTAGTACCAGATACACTAGATGACACTGTAATACATCCTTGATTTATATAACACTAGATAAAAACAACATTTTACCTTTGTTTACTCAATTTGTTGCTAATAAAGAGTTTTTAAAAAACTATTAGATAAAGTACTATTTTAAATAACTCAACTGTAAATAGTAAATATTGTAAACGTTCTCCAAAGTTAATTACACTTCAGTATATAATAAAAACATTTGCTTATCGAGTTTGATATATTTTTGCAATATGTTTCACTTTTGCAAAAACTAGAATAATAAAATTCTGTCGATAGTGTATAATAATGGTTTTCAATCTATCTTGGCAATTGACATTAGCAATTCAGATATAAGTCAATGAATATTGTTGTTGAAGACCAAGCCCAACACATGAATAATTTTTAGGCAAGTTAATCAGCTGTTGATATCTAATGATATAAGTGCATGTATTTACTATTTAGTTTTTACCAAGTATTTCTTTGAGCACAGCCATAGAAGATATGGTGTTATAATTAATGGTATTGTAATTGATGGCTGACACCAGATCACCGACTTCGTCGTCTTCTTCTTCCCCTTCGTCATCTTGTCCAGAGTTGTTACTTTGCTTCCCAGCTGCTGACATTTCACCTTAATTTGCAACAAACATAGCATCGATAAACCAATGAACTTTACTAAAGGAAAGCAATGCATTCACTAAGATAATGGTATTGAATCTTCAAAACACAATAATAAGAAAACCCACAAAGTTCATTTTCAGTTTTTTTTTTTAAAAAAAGGATGCATAATATCATACATGTGTATTTTTCGTAGTGTACCTTAGTCTCAGAAATTTTGTCGGCCGACCATGATCCGAGGCCCGGGTAGGTGATGAAATATGAAGTGATTAAAATTGCGATGGATGTGCATGAGCGAAATGCCAGAAGGCAGAAAATCGCGGTTTACATCACGAATGCCAAAATCATTTTTCCCTGTGTTTTTGTTTCGCCATCATATCGATATCTATAGACTATATATATGTATACATATATGATAATATCTTACAGTATTGTACCATATATATGTAATATATATATACACATATATGAAGCATGTGGGCGGTAGTGTGTGTGAATTACTGTGAAAGAGAAAGAAGTCGTGCATTAGTCGAACAGATAGCGCTACTGATGCAATTGTTTTTTTTTTCGATCCCAACACTCATTAAAAATATATCACAATAATTTTAAAAATACACATTAACAATGGACGAACTAAAAAAAAAATAAGAAATATCTAAACACCTACACTCGAAAATAATCTTTTTAAGGACTTTTTCTATTTCCAAAACACTGACGACAAACTGGCTTTAGTCGCGCTTACCGCGGTTACTGAGCTTATCCTCACTCAGTCAATTTACCAACCACTAACCATCGATTATGTTTTTTTTTTCACTCGCGATCATTAAATACCTACCTATAGGTATTATTATCGTGTTGACTGTTGTTAAATATTATTGTTAATTTGTAGTACCCGTTTTCAAAAAATATTTCATAATTTTTATTATTTACTTAATATTTGATCATCTATGTATATTGCATTTGTTTTCCTGTTGAACATCGATCGAAATCGAATGAGTAGGGCCGTCACTATCTAGCGCAAGTGTTAATAATGCAAAGCGGTGTAAGTTTGTAAACATTAACCGCCGAAAAAGCCTTTTACGTTTTGACTTGCCATCACAGTCAATAACGGACATTGTTTGAAAATAATGTGCTGTACGACACTATAAACCGGTAGTGATGACTGAATGGAAATCCAGATCGTTACCGAGCAATTTCGAGACACTGTCCATGTCCAATGTTCCTGTCGGTCCGTCATGTTTACGTTCTAACTCAAAAAAAACCTACATAAGTCGCAATGTCTCTTTTCCGGATGACGAAAGCCAAATTGTCACTGGCATATTGGAAACGGCACATCCATGGGAATGCTGTAAGTATGAATTAATATCTTATTGTAATTTATATTTTAATGTATGATTTATACTTTTTTTTGTAGTGGAAAATGTGACAGCTGACTTATTAATATCTAAATACAAAGAATCATGTGAGCGACACAATACCAGTCCCTTATATTCTGTACTAGCCCAAATAAGAAATGTAAATTTAAATGTAGAAAGAAATGATTGCTTTGACTTGAAGGGAGTATATTTAAACAATGTGGACTGTGAAAGTCTAGAAGAAATTCTAAAAAGAGTTCAATTTAAAACTATAAATGTCGAAGCTACTGGATTAAATGATGATGTAAGTTAATAAATAAATGATTTATGTTTAAAGTTAAGACAGCTTTTACTTAAGAGATATTAACAGATAGTAAGTTAAAAAAAAATGTCTTCTGAAAAACTTGAAATATTTGACTCTATTGGTAATTATTTAGCTTAATTTGATTGACAAGAGTCAAGTTGGATGACACCTTTTGTTCAATAACAGAAGTTGTGTCTTTATTTTGGTATGATACTTTTTGCACCAATGGAACAGAGAAACATATTGGTTCTGAAGTATAGCACTCCACAGGTTTACACTAACGTAATTTGGAACATGCATTATTATTTTAAAATGTTAATTGAATTGTTATTTATCCTGATACCTCATTTGATTAAATACATAACTCCAGTGTTTCAATTTTTAAATATGTCTGTTATTTTTTATAGGCAGCCATTGCATTATTTGATATGTTAGATTTTTATGAATCTGCTGTTTGTCTAAACATATCATCAAATAATGACATTGGCGTTAGGGGTTGGCAAGCATGTGCTCGATTGTTAAAAAAGGTAATTGACTTTATTTTTATAATTGAAACTTGTATTATATCAAATTCAATTAACACAATGAATGGTTATTTTTACTGTAGTCTAAATGTTTAGAAGAGTTAGAGGCAAGAAACACAATACTTAGTGAACAAAGTATGCAGATATTAGGTCGTGCCTTACGATTTGGTTCACAATTATATGTTTTAAAGCTTGAAAATTGTAACCTATCGGACCGAACATTATCATCTTTAGGTAATTATTTTAGAATTTTTTATACATTTTATTGTAATTACTTATTTCATACGGTCATACTATCTACAAGTTTTATTGTAATCATAGGCACAAATTACTATTTGTTTCAATGCTTAAAAACCATTATAGATGTATGCATCACCGTCCTTTATCTACAACAATTTAAGTAGTTCTTAAATAATAAGACCAAATATTAGTGGTTCTAATATTGATACTGTGGGTAACTGCGATTGTGCCTGTGATTGTAATAATTATTTGTTGGGTATACAAAGAAATTGAATACATTTTTGTGTTGTTTATTTTTTTTTTTTTTAACAGTTTTTGTAAACAGTTTAATTTATATTTCAGCATCTTCTTTAAAATTAAACACAACATTGAAAGAATTGTACTTAGCAGAAAACTATTTAAATGAAAATGACGCAACACAACTTGCCAGCTTACTTAAATGTAACTCTACTTTGGAGTTATTAGACTTGAGGTATACATATTATTTAAAACTGACATTTACTAAAATAATTCAATAAATTATCAAATTTTTTTTTTAGCAATAATAATATTCAAAACAAAGGTTTTAAAGTAATTTGTGAGAGTATTGTGCATCAAAATTCACCATTGACTATTTTAATTGTATGGAATAACAACTTGGATCAAGACTGTTCGGAAGCACTAGCAAACCTATTAGTAATTATATTACTGTAATTGTATTTTAATAGAAAGGCTGCAATTCAAAAATGTTCTCATTCTTTACTGCTTATAAAATATATTTTTAAGGAAGTTTGGGGGAGTTATTTTTTAAAGTAATGTTGATTACTACATAATAATCGACAAGTAAGTTTATTCTGTTTTAAAAAAAATTCATGCTTATACTTCTTTCTAACTAAAGTGAGTTATTAATTTTTTATTTCTTTTTATGCTTCAACTGGTATTTTCTTGTGTCGATTAGTTTGCTCACACAAAAGTTCAAATGATTGAAATTGTCATGTTTTTAAGGAGCAAAATATTTTTTAATATATGAAAAGAAAAGTAATTTTTAAAAAAATGTAGATCATTTTAATTTGTATACAAGTAAAATTACTTGTATACAAATAACCATTTGTTAATAATTGTATGAATGCCACATGGTTACATTGCCAAAACAATAATACATTTCTCCAAAAGTCAATTTTTGCCATAAGACAAATAAATTATAAACTTAAAATATTAAAAATATATATATATATATATATATTTTAAAAGAACAGTAATTTTGTTTTAATAATATTAGGTTGGCCTCATGTCAAAATAATGCATTAAACATGTTTTTGCGCTTGGTCACTTTTTAACACTTTGTTACTTTTGGTATGATGACGACAATTTGTTTGTCATACAGCCGCCCCGATAGAAAAATGACTGAACTGCAAAAATTGAAATTTTACGGGAGAACAAAAAAACTAAATTTTTTTCACTAATGTGTTATGTGATATAATTTTAATGGAATGGGAATGCTTGGGAAATTATTACAACTACAGTTACGTTGTTTTTCTACCTTATGTATTCAATATATTTAAACACATTGAAGCATTTAGCCCATTTTACCAAATTTTGCAGTTGGGTTATTGTATGAGAAAATGGTTTTTTTCTTTTTGTTTTAAATGTTATACGTCATAATGATTTCAGAGAAAGGAAACAAAACTAGAAATGCTCAATGTTGGTTATAATTGCTTGCTCGATTCTACAACCAAAGTTATAAAAAATCCCTTGAAAAACAATAAAAACATACTTCGATTAGGTTTACAAAGTACACAAATAACCTGTATAGGAGTGCAGTATTTATCTGAAGCTCTTGAAGTCAACACATCATTGCAAGTATGTATTTAGTTTTTAATTATATAGTTAAAAAATTTTAGTAACCACTATATTAATTTTATAATAATAGATAAGACTATATAGCTCAACAAAATTTTTAGATAAAATGTGTGACTAAATCTGCCATAATTTGTATACTTATATTTTTAAAAAAAGTTAAATATATATATATATATATATATATATATATATATATATTTATATTTATAAATAATATTTGTGTATGTAGGTATTTTTATTAATTATTGTATGTATAATAAGAATTAAAGACTGCTTTAGTAAAATAGAAAATTAATTAATAATTATTTTTAATTTATAATTATTAAATTATAGAGTAGTTAGTTGTATCAAGCACATTGCTTGTTCGAAGAATAATTTTTTTTTTGCTTTTGTCCATTTGGTATTCCCCTCAAAAAAAAAAAAAGTAATTCAACTAAAAACTAATTATAAATTAAACATCTTCTTTTTCTTAAATTTGATGTTTAACAACAACATAAAAATTAGGGTTAAGTGTTCGAAGTTTTGTGATTATAGATATTATTATTGAAAAAGCTGTATTTCCTTTAACATAAATGTTTGTATTTTTAATATTATATGCTTTTGCTTTTACAGAGATTAGATTTACGTGATAATAATATACAAGTCAAAGGTTTGAAGAATCTGAAAGATTCTATTTTGAAAAATTGTAGAATTACACGCCTAGATTTAGATCCTCAGCCACGTAATCAATATGCTGCTGTAAGATTTTTTTTTACTACAAAATTTGAATTTAAAATACTTAATTTAATATAATTTGAAATGTTTAACATTTAAATATTTTTTTTAGGACATAACTAAAGAATATACCAACTTGTTGGAAAGTGTAAAACAGATATGTTCGGAAAATGAAAATAAAAGTAATAATAGAGAAATAGATAATAATTTATTAGATCAAAGATCTGATGACGTTAATGTAACAAAAGCCATCAAGATCCCTAACGTAGATTCCAGAAAGATCTCTCTCACTTGTGAATCCTTAATGATGCAATATAATTCATTAAAAAATCCAAATTTTCTTGGTTCTGACGATTACCTATCTACGTTAAGGGGGAGCGGTGGTCGCCTAAGAAGTCCTGCTCCGAGCCCAATTCACAGTCCTATTGCCAATAGCCCCGCCTGTAGTCCATTAATAACATCAACCCGAAATCGTTTTCATGTATCTAAAGTGTCCGAACAAAAGCCAAAAGAGAGTAGATTTAAAGTGACTAAATTAAATAGTCTAATTGACAAAGCTCCAACGGCCAGTAATGAATCTTTGTCAGATGATTCTTTTGGGCACACCGACTTAGAACTAACTATTGATAGTTTGGATTTATGCAAAAAAAAAAATGTAGATAAGAGAGAAGACCAAAGAACGAGAAAAGTTTCTTGGGTTATGGGTTCTCGTCCTTTATTAACATCTTTACAAAACTTCACCTCCAGCTTAGATCAAGCCACGACGACTGGAGTTGATAAGCTGCTTAGTCTGTTCAGTCCTTTCTCTAGTGGTGATAAATCTTCAACGTCTGTTGACACGGTAGAGTCAAATGACTCTGTTTTTGAATCGGAACTTGAGCCAAAGAAACCTGTAAATTTTGATCAAGCTACTTGGCCGCCGGTATTTGGCAGTTTAAAAAAAGCTACTTCAATCTGCAGACCGTTATCTGACAAAGGTAGACATAGTTTGAACGATTTACGTACTTTTTAAACTCATATGTGTTACCATTTAAGTCTTAAAAAAGGAACAAATGCATTTGTATTGTTAACTTATTATTTAAGCCCTTCCCCTTGTAATAAAATTTTCATTTACAGAATCCCTAGAAACAAAATTGTGATTCATAAGCACACACAAGTACAAATTTTATTTTTATCTTTGTTGAACAATTTATAAATTATATTTTATGGGATCGTTTTCATTTAGTTATTATTGTTGAATAGTTTATATGCTCTGCAACCAAGAGCAGGTGAGACTTGCATAGTAACTTAAATATGCATTGTGTGATCAAGGCACATCAATCGAAATCAAATAATTTTTAACTCAAAATATCATTTGAATTTTTAAAAACGGTTATCTTAATAACCATCTTAATTACCAAACCGATTAATATTACTTAAAATTATACTTATTAATATTACATACATTGTATTATATAAAACTCGATTGTTTAAAATAACTCTAACAAAATGAAGAGATGATGATTTTTCCACACGTTGGGAAAATACGTTGTATACTAATTTTAAAGATTGGTTCATGGCTAGGGTTATTTTTTGCTAATAAAACCCTATGGAACTAAAGTTAAACTTACACGTGTATTCGGAGTTCTTATTTTTGTATAATATTCAAGTTACCACTCAAATAAAAGAACAAAGAGATAATCATTGTGTATCTGTTATTGTTACTGATTATCTATTATGTATTATATATTTGTTAATATTAGGCATGATTATTTGTTTGTATATCTTACTTTTTTATACACATTGAGTTTTGTAATAAAATGTGCAATAACTATTTTCTGGGTCTTAGGCAAAAATATGTTACTGTTAGTGTGCATAAAATCGTTACTACTAACTTCAAATAATAATTATAATTGTATGTTCATGTTTTTAAAAATAGTATTGCAATTTAAATGTTTTTCTTATCTTTCCGAATTTCTAGATATTTTTATAATCTGTGATTTTTGTCTTGGTTTTTTCTTTGTGATAATTTTTTTCCAAAGTTCATACAATGTTTATTAATATACTGTTACTTTAATTTCACTTCGGTTACTTAAATTTATATTGAAACTAAAATATATTCCAAAGACTGATTTTTTCCAAACAGTATTTGGAAAGACTTAAAAGTCAATTTACTAAAAATAAAAAACATTAACTCTCATTATATTGTTTCGTTACAGGTGCCATTTGTTTTTTGTTTTTATATGTAATACTTAAATTTAAGCCCAAAACTAATTGAAAAATAATGTTACCAAATTTATTATCAAATTATTATTAATCATTAGTTAGATTAGTTTGTATTATGTTAGATATGTAAAACTATATATTAATGTAGATTACACAAATCGTATATATATTTACTATTTAGATAAGTGTACTTAAGAAGTATATTGATTACATTTTTGTTTTAAAATTTAAACAGACATTTTTCTGTTAATAAACTTTATTGATACAATTTGTGATTGTTTTATTTAAGTTTATAAATAACTATAAGTAGTATTTATTTTTTTTTAATAGAAGATTCATAAATAAACTGTGTGTGTGTGTTTTTTTTTAATAAGTTTTTTTCTTCACTTTTTTATGAAAAGGTTAAATAAGCAGATGCAAGTATTTATAGGAGTTGTTATTAGTCAAGTTTATGATAAAAAGTTATTTGTGAAATGAACTAAAAAAATAATAATTTTAAGTCTGCCAATGACCAAAGCTATAAACGAGGTCTGATTTTCTTATTACCAAAAAAATAGTAGATACTAATTATTTTAATGTTGAGAGGAATTAACAGTTTGATACTTTTAAGCCTATTAATATATGAAAGATTTGTACTCTTTGAAAATAAACCATTTTTAGACATGATAAATTACATCATTTATATATATTAATATACTATTAAAACTATATATATATATATACATGTTTGTATAGATAATTATAAACTACTGCTATATAATAAAACAACTAAAAATTTGATTTTAAACTAATATTTATTTAGTACTCATTAAAAACACTTAATAAAAACATAATTGTATAACGGCATAATGACCAACATACATGAAAAAACTTATCAGACTTAGCTACTTATCAGATGTATTTGTTGATATACTTTCAGGAAGATCTTCGAGTGATACCTGAAAAAAATTGTGTACATAAATATGTAATGAATAATAAGTAATAACACAACAAAATAAAATTCAATTAAGAATTACTATTAAGGCGCCCCTGGATACCGATCATTTTTAAGAAGCTATTTAAAAAAAAAGTGGTTTTAATAAATTTCGACCATGTTAATTAATTTACCGGTGAATTTATTAAAGATTCATGGTATTATTTTTAATTTAAATAATTTTGTCTATGAGTAAAAGCCATTTTAGTTAATATAATAGTACATTTTTTGTCCATCACACAGGCTGAACTAGTGATCCGATAAGTAATCTGAAAACATATATTTGAATTTGTCATGAAGTTTACTTGAGATCGGTCAGCATACTGTTTTGATATCTTATTCCTAATACGCATAAAACACGTTTGAACATTTTATAAAATTTTCAAATTTGGAAAGGGTTAAAATTAAAAATTGAAAAAAGTGCTCTGACCGATCTCAAGTAGACTTCATAACAAATTCATATCTGTTTTTAGATTGCTTATTGGATCACTGCTTCGGCCTGTGCGATGGACAAAAAATGATGTGGTTAGGCTGAAAAAAACGGTCGGTATCCAGGGGCTTTAACTTAAAGGCTGAATATATCAATTTTTAAAAATAATAAAGTTATATAATTATAAGCCGTCCAGTTCATCTTAAGCCTTTTCGGCCTGATGCACTGGACGGTTATAGTATTACTTAAATTAAGAGAAAATTATAATTATCGGTGTTTTGTCTAAACCACTATTAATAATAAAAATATTGCTGTTTCTTTCTAACATTTTTAAGTAAAATTAAATGCAAACATTAGTGCCATCTTAGTTGCAATAACGACAACATACATTTTTGGAATACATTAATAATTTTACTAAGACACGACTCACTTTAGTTACTTTGAGTGCTACTCCTTCTGGTAAATTCCTTTGGGTATATTCTAAAAAGGTATCTGCTGTAGAACCAGTAAGTCGATGAAAATGAATAAATCTAAACCACGTTCTGACTTCATATTGTACACGACATCTTTTATGGACATGAATCGATCTCAACAATGTATACCTTTCATGGTGAGCTTTACGAGGTGACCAACTATTTAAAAAAAAATAAAACTTTAATTTCCAATAAAACAGTTAAATACTATAACTTTTATCATATACAGACTTTAAAAGCATTGTACAGTATATTAAAGGTATCTTATTTTAAAAATTAATTAGTGAACTGTTAAAACAATTTGTCAATAAATTGTTATCAAATGTGAAGTCATTATTAAATTAATATACACCAGAACAATTTTTATTTGGAAGCACTGAAATATTAAACACAAATAGACTAAATTTATTTAGGACCTCTTATCCTTACGTATAAATTAATTAAACTGAATTTCTTTTGGGAGTTAACCGTCAAAAATGTAATTAAATTTAAGTTATTTAAATAAAACAATGTAATATAAGTGAGTAAAATATTAATTTGTATTGTACTTATCATATATTTTATAAAAAAAATAATTAACATTAAAAATACCATTTTCCAACTTGAATGCCCAATTCGTTGGCTGCCATAGTAGCAAATTGTGTGTAACTACGCAACACTGCTGGGTCATTACTTCGGCATTCAAATTCAATAACCTTGTACAATTTGTCTGGTTCTCTCACATTCTAAAAGTTAAGCAGTAATATAAAAGGTCAAAATATATAGCTAAGCGTTATAATTATTTTACTTGAGCAGATATTGATGCTAAAGCACTTTCGGTTGCAACATTATTTTCTGATAGTATTGTTTTGTCACTGAACCATCGTGTTAGGTGTGAAGCATTGTAACCTGACGCTAAGGTGGTAGCTTTGCTTTTACTCAGAAATATATTTTTTAACAGTGAATTCATATTATAAATAATGTATATACAGTATTTTATACTTGAGCTTTAATTTCAATTCAAAATTCCCGATAGGAGAAATTAACTAGAGCCATCAAAATCTAAAAGGTTTTCAGATACATACAGATAGAAGTGATACAACAGATTACAACTATTATCAATTATCATTATCAAATATCAAAATATCACATAACACCACAGATATATATAATAAAAAACTAGATTGCTAACTAGCGATAAGAATTGAAGCCAACGGTCCGCCATTCTGGTGGGATTTATGTGTGTTATCAATGCATGTAATATATATCTGTATATGTTATTATATTAATATTATATGTATATATATATATATATGTGATTGTTATTATGACATATATTATTCTCGCGTGATAAGGTTCTAATTCCCACCAAGATGGCGGAAGGTGGCTGCTTCAATCTTCTCTATTGGTATTATATACAGTTAGCAATCTAGTTTATTAAATATATCTGTGCGTAACACAATACCACCAATACACATTGCTATCAGCAACTTATTACACAGCGGAAGAATATTAACCGTTAACGATTTACTTTGCATGTCTTCCGCAAATACTTAATTATTCATCTATATCCTCGAACGGCGTACCCGTTGCGGTAGATTTGTTAAATATAATATTATTATACCTACTAATTATACTAGATTTTATTATATAAAATGTAAAAACTAATAAATAATTAACGATTAATTAATATAGTTATATTTTGTTTATTAAGGTTTCATTGATAACAAAGCACACAAGCATGATACATACATTTCAACTTGGTTTAAAAACTTAAAATCTTAATTGTTTTTTTGTGCAGGAAAATCTGCATACCATCCGTATGATCCATGTAGTCCGGTATGAGCACCAAAATCAACGTAGGGATTAACTCCACCTTGTGAACGCTTTTGAATTTTCGTTTTCTTTTTCGGTTTATTCGGTTTCAAAGCTTCAGTATAACAAACCATTATTAAAATCGTAACCATGAATGCGTACCAAAATAAGTTCATGTTCATCTATATAATTCAAATCGTAAAGCATATCAGTGAAATATAGTCGAAAAAACGAAAAGTTATCTTTTTTTTCAACTATTTAAATTACTGTGGTCGTTTTTCCCCCTTTTTCGACTTTTCTACCAAATTTTGCTTCTTTTTTTTTTTTTTTATGCGAAACCCAATTTACACATTTTATGGAAAATTATCTCAGCTTTCTGAAAAAAATTCTCAAATTTTGGGCTACACGGATAAACCAACTTTTTATATTACAAATTCGATTTTCATGTCTATCTGTTACTCAATAAAAAAAATGCTCAGAAAGCTGAGATTATTTTACATAAAAAACTATTTTTTTATGGTCAATAATACAATAAAAAAGAAGAATTAAGGGAAATACTTTATACGACCATGGTCAAAATAATCGAAAAAAAACTATTTTTATCGTAATAGAAGAGCAGGGTACGTTTCAAAAAGTTCTGTGGGGGGTTCCAAACGTTCGTTCTTATTTGACGTTTTGACCCATATATATGCGGTAGAAAATGAAAATGATACACTGTAATGAGCCATTGTAGAATATGTACCGTATTATTGTTAAATTTCTTCTGCTATAACACCATTTTGTGTTTTAAATTTAAAAAAAAAATAATCGTTTTTTATTTTTTACGGTTTAGTAAAAAACGTTTTATTTGCCTATTTCATATTATATTGCTCTATTGACTATCTAGTACCTACATTAATATTTAATAAGTTAAGTAATAAGTTTAATAGTGTAGGTACCTTCAATTTAAAGTTATTTATAATGTAAAATGAATAGTACTAACTACTAAATATAAGTACAATATTTTGTCTTAAAAAAGTTAAGTGACTGCATTTCTATGAATTACCGCCACTTATTAATTAAATATCCATAATATGAATATCAGATGTCAACTATAGTGGTAAACTGCTTTTTCAACACGATTAGTTTAACCATATGGCTTATTGATTGTGCCTTTTAGACTTATATGCATGTATTTAAAAAATAAATAGGTACATAAATAAAACATTTAAGAAAGAAATTTCAAAAATATGTTGGATTGAAATTAAGATTTGGCTTTCAGGAAAATCATTTCCTATAGGATATATTATAGTATATAGGTACTCGAATACATTTCATGCATAGATACCTTACATTACATACATAACATTTAGAGACTCAATGCCTCTACGTCTACGATGTCTACACTCTACATACATATAAAAAATTAAAAATAGATCATCTTTTTTATACTTACTAGGATTTTATTAATGATCAGATGACAGCAATGATAGTCAAAGAGTGATTTTCGAAGTAGCAACGTAAAAATCGAACTGAGGAAAATATATATTTCTCTTATAAATGCTTTCACTAGTGAAATTGAAAATATTTTGTTATGGTAGTTGGGCATATGGTAGGAAAACCATGACGAAAATGTTTTCCAGTTCATTAACCACAATGAAATGAATAAAATAATATGCACATTGAATGTGTTAAAGCTTTCATGTATTGAAATGTTATATGAATAAGTTTCATTGTTGAATGTTGACACAGATCTAACTTTTAACTGAGTAGCGACTAGCGAGTGCGATTATTAATAAACAATAATAATAATAACAATGAATATAATATATATATATATATTATAAAAATGTATTATATTAGCTCCGATACGTTGCTTAGAAGTACCTACAAAATCTCGTAAACCTTTGTATTGATTTTTTCCTGCAGCAAGGCTTTAGATCATAAACCGTATCTAAGTCCTAAGAGATACTTTAAAATAAAATCCGAAAAAAAAATTCACCTCATCCCCTTAAGGATAGAGAAAAACACAAAAAAGTACACGTTTATCAACTCAAAACTACAGTGCGCTATAATTTTTTTTACAAATAGTAGAATTAATCATGATGTTTTAAGCTTTCCTATAATTACTGGATATTATAATAAGTCGTTGCCTGACAGTAAGACTTAGTGGCCCTACTCTCCCGAAATTGGGGTTATGAGTTTATTGTGTAAATGAAAGAGAAAATACTTCTATCGCGACTTTTTTTTTTTAATTTAACCTTTAAAAAGATATAAAAGAGTATAGTTGACATTTTTTTTAAAAAGTTTAAATTTGTTTGTGAAATTTCGATAGGGAAATTGAAAGATATTGAAACGATAATTCACAAATTTACCAGCCAAAACAGCAACACCGGAAGCTACTGAAAGAGATGGGCGTAAAATCAATTACTCGGCAGAAAAGAAGAGAGCTAGTTCTACAAAAGCGCAAAACGAGAAAAATGTGGCTGTCACCGTGTGTCATCATCAAACCGATTTCGATTTATGACATTCATCAACTGTGGTGTCTGTAGAGTTGTATTAGCATGTCCAATATCAAAGTCATCTAACGTTGCCAGAACCTCGCTCTGCATAGCATTGTTGCAGCATATCGGTACGACAGAAACGACACCATCCACCGTGATATAATGCTGCCTATTGTAGCAGACGAAATCAACAAGTAGTTTACCACTAAACATGACACAAGATTGGAGTTACACCATAAACGTCAACGCAGGTGCAATACAATTGTAGGAAAATTCCAAAGATGACAGACGCCTTAATCGCAAGAAGCCATACGATTTAGTTTAACTTTAAACTAGTCAAGAAGCCACCTCATTGGAGGTGGCTTCTTTGCAATTGTGCAGTGAGGGTGCTCGTTATGTTATGTGTACCACCTACAGTGATTGTAGTTTTAATAAAAAGCTATATTACATAAAAAAATACTATTTTTAAATTCTGATTTTGACTAAGACGAATCTATGGACCATATCTTGACCCACGAACCGGAGAATGGAGAATACGAACCAATGAGGAGCTTCAAAACATGTTCCAAAAACCATGCATATCAAGGAAAGCTGAAAAAAAGAAGGTTAATGTGGGCTGGACACGCCTGGAAAAAAAAGGACACAATGATAAAAGCAGTAATTGAGGAGGAGCCGATAGGAAAAAGACCGCTAGGCAGACCGCGCTTAGATGGGAAGATTGTGTGAAGAGAGACGTCAAAACAGTAGATCCAAGAGCAAACTGGAAAGAAGTCAAAGAGAGGTGGAGGAATATTTGTTGTACGGGATGGTCTTAAAGGCCGGAAGAACCCAAAAAAAAAAAAAAAAATAATAATAATAAATAAAATATAGAGTACACATGCTGTATTGTGGCGCTGGACCCAGGGTCGCTATAAATGAGAGTAACATAAATGTTATATTTGTTCTTTATTTTAGTGTAGAAGAACGTAAACTTAAAAAAAAAAGATATATTATTACCTACTGCCCACTTTAGCTTGACATAAAACTTGTTGTTTTAGTTTAAATCTTAATAAAAATAATAATAATTAATTTCTTTGGTTAATACTGCTGTTAACTAATTCTCTGTTACCATGGTTCAAACAACGTTATCACTTATCATTCTTTTATCATCACACGTGGTTTCGGAATTTAAGTAAATAATTCTGTTCAGCATTCAAGACTCAAATATTTAATCTTAATTATTATTAATTTTCATTGTCGTAAGTCGTTACTTATAATATTTTGTGAACACATTTAAATTTATACGAAAACCCCCGGTAATAATTTCATGATGCATTGTGACGAATTTGGCGATGGCTTAGACAATAATTGTGTCGTTAATCCTGACAAAGATCCAGTTAACTCAGTAATATTTGGTGTTAACAGAAGGGCGAAATTTTCAAGAAAAGTAAGTAGTTATCCACGTAATTTGTGGTTTTCTTAGTTATAAACCTTAACAATTTGTCAGCAAGGTGTGTTCCATTTAAAAAGTTATATTAACAATCTATGTACGATTAGGTAAAATAAATAAAAAAACACATTTACTTTACCAGACACCCATTTTTTGCCATATCATAGTGTTTTGAAGTTTATTACAAATCTGAAGTCAAAAATCGCAGGACTCTTCTAGTTCCATAGTTAGAGCTATTTGAAATTTTCATATTTCGCGTGGATAACAATCCAAATGCCGCCGCACCATACATTTGGTGGCGACCTGAGTGTGCGCTGTTACAGTATTATTAGTTAATTATTTATTTTTATTATTATAATATTATCAATGATTTAATATTATCACTATTGTATTGAACAACCATATAATTTTCTTAAGTTGTAAAGCTTTAAATTAGTAAATCTTAAACTATTTAAAACAACTCTCTATGCCTGCCAGCTTCGGGAGCCGACTTGAACCCCTTCGTGACTCTTCGTTGGATGAGGGCTCATACCTCCAAACCCCCAGAAAGAAAAAAATAGCTTGTTTAAAGTACTAAACTAACCTAGCCTACTGCTCTAGAAGTGTCAGCAACCTAATTAGTCCAAACCTAACCTATTCTTGCGCCGCTAACAAATGTATAGACCGCGGCCGCCTATTACTATACACGCGGAAATAAGCAAATTTCAAGAAGCTATAACTTTTGAATAAGTGGAGTCCGCCTAATTCTGACTTCAGATTCTTAATCAGCATAAAACACTGTGAAATGGCAAAAAAAGAGGCCGGTAAAGTAAATTTATATAAATAAATTTAATAATTTTATATACATCACATGTAAGATAGAAAAGAGAAGACACCCAGGGATGCTACCTGACAATCTAGCCTAAGCTTAATGTTTCAATTAATTTTGCCTAATTGCTGATAGTTGGTCTATTAAGAAAAGAAAAAAAATTGTAAAATCTAAATAAGCAAGGTTTTTAATAATTAACATAAATTTGTTACCACTTTTGTTCATTATATTATGTACAATGCATTTTACTTGCAATAAAAATAATTTATTATTAAATGTTATTTATTTTATGTTTTTTTATTATATTATTATTATATGCTGAAATTGTATTATGGTGAATAATAATATTATTTTGTTTTAGGAATCTAAGGACAATCAAAAACTTAATGGAAAAAGTAGTAATGGACTACAAAAAAAAGCATCTGACGATAAAAAAAATGGTTATGTTTCTGCCATGTTCAGAAATAATCCACAAGTTTCAGTACCTTTAGTTCAAAAACCAGTTGCTAGTAAAAATAAAACCTCATTATTTTCTACTACGACTTTTAAAGATCTTATTGACTTGCATCCTCACATGGTAAATAATACATATTCACTGTATATTTATTTTTTATGCCTAAACATGTCATGTTAAAAGTATAAAATACTTTTGAAAATTATTCAAAATTGAATTGTTATTATCATAAATGTCTTATAATTAATTTTTTTTTTTATTACTAGGTAGCAAATTTAGAACAAACATTAAGAGTAACTAAGTTAACAACTGTTCAAAGTCAAGCGATTCCAGTCTTACAATCTGGTAAAGATGCTATGGTTCAATCAGAAACTGGAAGTGGAAAAACATTTGCTTATGCAGTTCCTCTTATAGAATCATTACACAAAATCCGTCCAAAACTTAAACGAACAGATGGTCTTCGAGCTTTAATAATATTACCAACTAGGGAATTAGCACTTCAGACTTATGACAATTTTGTTAAACTTCTAAAAGTATGTACAACACAAAATTAAAGCAGGGTGTTATCAACTTTAAATTATATTTAATCTATTTTGTTTAGCCTTATACATGGCTTGTGCCTGGAATGTTTACTGGTGGTGAAAAAAGAAAATCTGAAAAAGCCCGAATGAGAAAAGGTATCACAATATTAATTGGTACGCCAGGAAGATTATTAGACCATGCTAATAATACTAAGTCTATATCGTTTAAAACACTTCAATGGATGGTAATTGATGAAGCTGATAGAATGCTTGATCTTGGATATGAAAAAGATATAACAAGGTATACATTCATGACTTTTTAAATGATAGAAGATAGTGTAACGTGTTATTTAAAAAAAATCATTATTATTTTCTAATAGTTTTTAACTTGACACAAATATTGTTTGGTATTATGCCTATAGTATACTCATCATAATAAAATAAATTATTATTAAATAAAATTATTGAGATTTTTAGCTATAATTCCTTTGTTCCTATGGTCACTGCCTACAGGACTTAATTTCCCACGTCACCCTTACATTTGTACACTTTCTGATCTATAGACTGATATCTCAATATCTTTCCAAAAAAAAAATCACGATGTCAGGTCGCCATCATTAATAATGACTACAGGGGCGTAGCGTGCATGTAAGCACTGCTTACACTTCAAATCATAGGAAAAAAGAAAATTGATCATTCAATATTAATACATTATAAAATATGATTTTCAAAATTATATTTTTATTTATTAAATATTTGAAGTTGTAGTGGTTTTCGTAATCTTTTTGCTGGTGTCTTATTTGTATTATATTTTATTTTATTTTAAGCATTTTGCAAGTTATCGACGAGCAGCGTGATGAATCTGTATCACGTCAGACAGTATTGCTATCAGCAACATTATCTGAAGGAGTTCAAAAACTTGCCGGACTATCCTTAAAAGAACCTGAGTATATTGATGCAACTTCCATTGGTGATACAGATCCTGAATGTTTAGCAATACCTGATAGTCTTGTACAATATTATGTTATTGCCCCTCCCAAGTTGAGATTGGTAACTCTGTCTGGAGTTCTCCTTCAAAAGTTACAGGTAGTTTTTAATTACATTAAATTGATAATATTTTTTTTTAATTATGAGAAACCTATCATTTTTTAAATTGTATCAACAGAGAGGGCAATTGTCTAGTAAAACATTAGTCTTCATGGCTACTCAAGATATGGTTGACTTCTATACCGATTTATTGACTACAGTTTTAACTTGTTTGACCATGTTCAAGTTACACGGAAACATGACTCAAGTAGAACGAATGGAAGTATTTAAGTCTTTTAAAGCAGCTAACCATGGAGTTTTATTTTGCACAGTAAGATATAACTTATAATTTAAAATATTTTTTCATTGTAAATAGAAACACAATGTTCTATAATAAATAGAATCTATATAAAAATATTCTATCAATATTTTTATTTAAGAACATTTTGTTTGGATCTAATTATATATTTTTTGTTTGTTTTAGGATGTAGCATCTAGAGGTCTAGATTTACCGCTAGTGGATCGTATAATACAATACAATGCTCCTATAACACCGACAGATTATGTCCACAGGGTTGGCAGAACTGCTCGAGTTGGTCAAAAAGGAGAAGCCACTTTATTTCTAACACCCCACGAAGCAATGTTTATATCTAAACTACAAGATCATTCTATTGTGTAAGTTACTAAAGTATAATGATTTATGTCATATTTTCAATATATTTTATTACTCGTTATTATGATCATCGTGATTAGCAATATGCCGTGTTAGCAATATTTACATAGCTTTTTTCAATATATATTTAAATACAATTTGGATATTATTGGTATTTGAGGTAATATCCAATTAATAATTTTTTCATATAAATTTTGATATGAAAAAATTATTATAAATCAATTATTCAAATAGAATATTATTTTTAAACTATAAATAAAAATGTATTTAATATATAAATTATCTAATACAGAAAATATACATTTTTTACAAATAAAAAAAAATTGTTAGCTTTGCTAAATAAATAAATTTTCATTATTTGTTTTTACAGGTCTTCAGAACTTAAAATGGATAAATGCTTGCAATCTATTTTGACAATGGAGTTTGAAGGAGTAAGGAGTAATATTATAATATTACTGTAATATATTGTAATGTTAATTTGATAACTTTCAGATGTATCCATGTTTTTGTTAATATGCTGATGTTTCGGACTCATTACAGAGACCATCTTCAAAGCGTTAGAACTTAAAAATAAAGACATGGATACAATCTAACATTAACTTATACATACACTTTACTACTGTGCATTATAAACCACAGTTCTGTGAATAATACATTTAGAAGTTAAGAATGTTGTCGGTTCCCAATGAAAAAGGGCTTATTTCATTTTTTTTCAAGACACTTTTTTTACAGAGATATTATTAATTTTCAAAACTGCATCTAGTCATGTTCGAATAGAGATAAATATTCTCCAAAATACAGAAATCACAAAAGTTTCAACTCAATAGAAATAACACGTTTTTAAAAACTCGTCTCCTGAACATTTTTCAGTGTGCAAGTCAAAATTTTTTTGTCAAAAACCAACAATGTGTAAAGACTGGTAGCATATACAAAAATATTTTTTTATTAGCTTTAAAAAAAAAAAGATGATGAATCATAAAAAAAAGCAGACTAAATTGACAATTTTTTGTAATGTAAAAATAACTATAATTTAATTTCAAGAAATGTTTTATCTCCTTAACTTCCCTTTGGATATGTCACTCATTGTATGCATTAGACTGTGTCTAAACACATTTGTTTTACTTACTCAACCAATAGCCTATTGATATAAAAAAACGCCTAACATTTTCAGATCACTAGCTTAACTCTTTAATACTTCCTATTTTGTTTTTTTTCATTTGAACAATTTTTATTTAAAAAATTCTTATTTGTAAGCTAATTGAAATTTTTGAAATTTATAAAATGATTCTTAGACCTGAAATATGACACTTCAAAATCACTCTATTGATATTTCACAACAAAAATTGTTTTTATTAAGTTATAGTGCAGTGAAACTTATAAATCTGATAACTTAAAAACTTGTTAAAAACAAAATTTCCAGTGTCATATTTGAGCTTTAAAAATCTTTTTCAAATTGAATACATTTTGATTAGTCATCATGTTAAATTTTTTTTAGTAAAAAATAAAAGGTGGATATTTTAATAAAATGCAACAAATTATGAGAAAGTATCTAGAGTAAATTAATTTAAGGGACCTGAACTTTGAGGGACGCTCTGACCAGGCGTCTCTGCCTACTTAATTGTATAGAATCATAGGTACATCATAGACATTTAAATATGTTTATTTGTATTGCATTTCTAATTAAATATGTTTGTTTTCATTGTTTTAAACCTATTTAAAAACTTTTTATTTTTAGGAATTTGTTAAAACTGCTGAAATGGCGGCAAATATATTGCAATCCCGTTTTGAAACAGCAGTATTAGATCAAGATCGACTTCATGAATTGGGTTGTAAAGGTAGTTATTGATTTTAGTATTTTAAATGAGCAAAATTATTAGCAGTGTATAATTAACTTGAATGGTTTAGCATTCAAATCATGGGTTAGATCATACGCTAGTTATCCGAAAACAAGTCGTGAAGTTTTCAACTTTAAGGATTGTCATCTAGGTCATTATGCCAAAAGTTTTGCTATACGAGATGCACCAAGGATAATCGGAGGAATCGGTAAACCAAAAAAAGATCCAAGAATGAAGTTAGTAAAAATAAAATTTGTTTATATTATTTATATACTTATCTTAATGTGTAGTTGTGGCTCTACAATTAAACACTAAATTCAGTATAATGTTAGGTAAAAATTAATAGTAAACTTACTAGAAATACTAGAATGGGATAAACGGTCTATCTAGCATTTTAGTTTTTAACAATCTAAAATGTTATGACTGTGGTCCTTGATTTCTTTCTAGTCCCTCTCCCTGCTTTATTAAATATTAATATCATAACTAAATTACATTTTTCCACTTGAAAAGTTATAATTACATTTATATTTCATTCTGTGTAAAACCCAGATGGTAAAAAAGGAAAACCTTTTTTATTATTACTTAAAAACAGAATATGCTTGAATTTACTGTTGTACTGTTATTAATATAAACAAACAAATTGTTTTATGCTTATAATACATAGTTTTCGTATAATCAAGATGATTAAATTCGTTTAACTATACAGTGGCGGTTTATGTAATGACTTTTTTTTTTAAGTCAAATTGTCAATAGGATAAGGTCAGGTAGGATAGGATAGGTCTGTTGTTAGCGCTGAAGATGACAACATTGTTGCCAAAATATGTATATGCATAGAGTGTATTATTTTTTATGGTTAAGGGTTTAAATATTAATTTCTTTACTACATATATATGTATCCATAAGTTGCTAAAGTTTTTTCTAGATCAAATTATCAAGCTTATAAAAAAAATTATAATAATAGTTATACAAAAATACAAATTTTTATTTATATTTTAAGTAGCAGGTTTGACATCACTTGGCATTTTGTATTATACTAAAAAAAAAATAATAGTTTACGTGTAAGAGTAATAATAATGATATTAAAGACTTTTTTTCGTTGATCGTCGATTGTTCACATAATATTATATCTGAGTTTTTATGCAATTTTACCCGATTTTTCACAATTGTTCTTAGGCTATCCTGCTAGTAAATGTGCGCCTACTAATAACTGATAAGGTCTGTTGGAGTGGAAAATTATTATTGAAAATAAAACTCCCAAGTTGATTTTTATTTTTTTATTTTGTGGGTAATTGGTTCTTAGGATACGATTGTTAGTGTAAACGTTAAGTGAAACTATTTTTGGCCTTAAACCGTTTCATTATAGATTACCGTTTGTTATGTCACATTATACTCAAGGTAATCAAATTGCTTGAATATTTGTAATACATAAACGCGTTAGGGAGAAAAAATATTAGGAATGATAAGTGTTTAGACCTTGGAAAACAATAAGTTATGCTAGATAAATATTTGTGGATGAAGAAATTAAACATGATATTATAATACCAGCTGATAATAATAGTTTTTATAATGACAAGACCGGAATGGAGTAGAAACTCTAAGTGCATTACGACAACAGTGGCCATTACGCCTTTTCCTCAATAGTAGTTTGTAGTTGAGAATCTTCGTTAACGGCACATTATCTTCGTGTGAAAACTGAATCGATCAATATAATATAATATTCATTTTTCTGGAGCCTGCCGGTAGTTTTGCATCGTTTTGCTGCAAGTGCCGAATTGTTCCTAACTGTGAGATAATCGATTTGAAACACAAAAGGACGACAGCAAAAGTGTGAAAATGGAGCGGTTTTCCTACAAACAACAATCCACTTTCCATTGTGTAAATGATGGCGGTACCGATTACTGTGTTCAGCTTACTGAAAAATTGCTCTTAATTTTGGTTTCCTGGCTAACAGCGATATACAGGGCGATTCAAAAAGAATGAACCGATTCCGTGATCAAATATTTTGTAAGTAAATGTGTGAATCAGAATGAGGGAGTGGCTGTTTGAAAGATTAGGTTTCTAAGTTTCAAATGGTTGCCACGTGACCGCACCAGGTGCATCGGTCTCCTAAGGTAAACGTTTTCTGTGCTGTATTCTGCAACAAGGTTTATGGCCCATTTTTCTTCGTGGGAAACTCTGTTACAGGACAAACCTACGAGGATATGCTACGAATCTGGCTCTTCCATTTGATGGTAGCTGATTCAAATGAATTCATTTTTCAACAAGATGGGGCAACTCCCCACTGGAGCCTATCAGTTAGAGCATTTTTAAATGAAAAACTGCCTCAGCCGGCAGCCCTGTAACAGAGTTTCCCTCGAAGAAAAATGGGCCATAAACCTTGTTGCAGAATACAGCACAGAAAACGTTTACCTTAGGACACCTGGCGCGGTCACGTGGCAACCATTTGAAACTTAGAAACCTAATCTTTCAAATAGCCACTTCCTCATTCTGATTCATACATTTACTTACAAAATATTTGATCACGGAATCGGTTCATTCTTTTTGAATCACCCTGTATACCTTATAAAACCGCCGGTGTTTTCTTTGTCTACCAAAAACCCCGAAAAGTCAGTGTACAAACAACATCAATAACCACCGGATGTAACTACCTTTAACGTTTTAACTTTTGGCTGTGACGACCGTCGACTGCCCGAACAAATAACGTTTGATGATCTTTAACTTAAAGTTAATATATTTTTTTAACGGCCGATGTAAAATATTCAAGTGTGTTTTCTATACTATTCAAAAAAGTACTTTATAATATACTGTGAAGTGTCGTCGGTGGGCGGCTTCTTACTCAAGCCAAACATGTTACTGTAATCAAAATTAGCATATATACTCATTATGCCTGTAATTGTATAGATTGTATATACCAAAAAAAAAAAAAAAGCTTGTACAAGTCTACAAGGTCTACAGATTTTATCATAACTGAAAGTGATAAAATCACTTTTAAATAAACGCTTCGATGCGAATCTGTGGATAGTATGTTCAAACCAGTTATAGCGGTTTAAAAGATATCGTGGGACCAGCAATAATGTATTTAAAATTTAATATTTAGACTTGTGCAGGGTGGATACGATAAGGGTTGATCGTCTGTCTATAAAAATGTATTGTCATAATTACCCATATATCGTAATTAACAATATAATGAAAATATTTTCATTACCTGTTGACTGTTGATTCACTCACACATAGCAACGTAGAAACTGACAACGGCCAAAGTGTAAATTTACCCTAATTTTGGTGTTTTTCCTTAATAAAAAAAAATTTGACTACAGATTTTTGAGAAAATTGTATTTGTTATAGTTCCATTTTAGATCTACCTTCGGTCTAATTTTCAGATCTAAATCTCTAAAACTTTGTTTGAAAAAAGTGAAATAAAGAAAAAAAATTCTATCACATAACTTCATTATCTATTTTATTACTATATAGGTTGTATCAGCAAGACTGAATAGTCAATAGTATGCTGTTAACTTTATTCCGTGGGACACCCGTAGAATGTTTTTAGTTTTTTTAGAATTCAGTTTTAATCGATTACATTAATTTACATTACGAATACATTACACAAAACATAATATATATATATATGTACGAGAACTTTTGTTTTTCACAAACCGATTGGTTTTGTCTAAAGGGATTGGATAGTGATATGTGGCCTAAACTATTGACTATATAACGTGAATATTGTAGTCTATTCACTTGGAGACCGAAGTAGGATTACTGGCAGTATAATATTTTTAATTTTCCGGCTATGAAAGACGAACCACGTTCGGTGAATCGATTTTATTAAATAGCCAGTATTTTGATGTTGGTGGCTGCTGCTGTTACGAGTATGAGATCCAATTGTTATTTATTTTGTTATTAGTTCTACAGTTTCGGCAACAAAGCGTCCAGGCGATGTGTACTTGAAAAGATTTTTGGTTACAGGTCAATTGCTATTGTCGGAGCGGTTCAGCTGGAAAATCGGGCCTCGGACAGACCGAGGGGGGAAGGGTAAACAACAATAAGATATCCAATTATTTGGCCCAGACCAATTACCGATTGGATGTGCGCCTTGGGTTTCCCGATTATGTAACCGCATGTGCGCTACATAATCTTCAAGGCCGGTTGAAACATTTTTTAAGTCCTTTTCATCTACTTGTCAACATACAAATGCGCAAGTATCTTCAATCAGCCGAATGACAGGTCAACGCTTTGGCATTTATCGAACGTATCTTGTCCTGTTCTGTTTTTGCATAATATTATGTAATTAAAATACTTAATTTTTCTAGAAATTCTAAATTCTAGAAGGAATACATGCAAAAATGGGATTAATCGCAACTTGAGCCCTTAGATTATTATGTTGTCAGACACGTCACGCGATTTGAGACAAATTTAAATAGGTACATTTTTTATTGAAAAAGTCGATAAAAGTTTGGTTGTTTTTTCGTTGTTGTTCGACTATTGAAACCTACGTGGTTATCAATAACTGATATATTTGTGCAGTCTGGATTTTATTAAAATACTGTCATGAGAGAGTCAAAACTCAATATTTTTATCTTAAATAAAAAAAATATATAATAACATAAATCATAATACGCATTTTTAAATGTTTCTAAAAGATAATACTGTGTGTGTCTATACTCTACAGTCTACTGCATAAATTCTGCGGATTTTCTGAAAAATGAATCCGTTTTGATCTCTTGATGTCCGTTTGATCTCTCAAAGACTCTTGCCAACTTGCCAGTACTCTAAAGTAGACTTAATCGGTCGTCTTCACGCTAATAGACTTTTGGCAGGCGTCTTGACGGTTAAAACGTCGACAATCAACTAACCATAACTATTTAGCTCCCTTTAGATCTCTTCACTTAACTCATTTCGGTTGATATTATTTAATATGCGGGCAATTTTACCAATAATGATTAGTACTGTTGCGATAATCAATTAACAAACTTATATAAAAAAGTTTTAAACAAATCGACAGCTAAATTTTTAAAAACGAATATTACGTTTTATTAACAAAAAAAGTATTTTCGCACTTTGAGTACAAAATGAAGTTTATTCTGATAAATATGTAATAACTTGGGATTCAAATGAACTTAGACTTTTGCATTAAAGTATTTTTTGTAAGTTCTAATGTTTCAGATTTATTTCCAAATAATTTACTATACCATCTACAACTCTTGTTTTAGAGAAGAAGAAAATGTATGCGTAGTAAGGGCTGGAGGGTTGAGTGTGGAACGGAATGGTTATCTTAATGGACGATAACATCTAAAAAAATTGGTGCCTAATTGTGCAATAGCCTAGTCGCTTAATAGTATACACACTACACAATTTTAATTTATGTTATAATAATTTATATATATATATATTGTTCTCCACGTTTTATTCTGGAAACCTACCATCCTGTTGTTACCATTCGCGGGGGTCGCAAGTTTCTCGTTTGACTCACCGCGGTTTTTACCGTTTTTCATAGTATTCTTATTATAATAATATGGTGTTACATTATTTCTAATGTTAAATTCGTCTCGGCGGCCGTCGGGGTCGACGCTATTTAAAAACTTATTAATTTCTTGACGCACACTGATTATAATCGAACACTACAATCTTATTGTTTAAGCCGAGTAAAATAATATAAAATAAAAAACAAAAAGGATGTATTAGAAGAAGGTTTTTAAATTCTGGTAGCTGCAGGGGTTCTCATAGCCTGCCCCCCATCGGTCCTGTGTTTATCGGTCGCAGCTCCCGTCTGACAAAATCCTTTCATCATTATCGCCGCATCACACCCTTTTGTTTGACATACACACATGTATACTCGCTCGCCTCACTATTGTAGTAAAACTTGATACATATTATACTTCAGCAGATAGACACGTTATTAACTGCTGCCTCACTTATTATTATCATTACCATCATCATCAATTGTGTTATAATGATTAAAATGGTTCGGGGGCCTTTTCCCCACCGATCTTCTTTTGTTGGCTACTAATAAACATTATGCCGAGACAATGGTTTATTTTTTTACTCGCGTACCGTCATAGGCCTCCGGTTTATGGTAGATAGATATAATTTACCAATAAATTTTGTAAAATTTCCTCTTGTTTACATCGCATTATGCGTATTGTATAATATTTATTTTGTTGATAGATGTTCATACTTTATAGTAATTACATTTAATTATTCTATGTGTGTGTAATATATATGTATACGGTATATTGTAGCGAAGTTAAAATCTCACATATGCTCATTAAATTGTATTAATTTAATATTTTTAGACTACTGTATTATCGCACACCTAGATCAAAACTGCAACAACTCAAAAGTGGGTATTTTTAGTTATTTGTATATTCGGATTCTACAAACAAAGTTACACGAACCAACAAAACAAATAACTCCAAAATATGGCGCTAAGGTACCTTTTGTAAAAATGACTAATCCCATAATCTTAACTACCAAAACCGTTTAAAACTTTAGTTTCTGTCCGGATATCAAGCGGAGTGCACGTATGTTAATTATATAAAACTGTTTTATTAAAATAATCAGTTAAAGTTTAATTAAAAAGTTAAAGTAATTTAACTTGAAAATACATTTTTTGGGATTTTTGAAAAAAGGTGGTTTTTGAGCTGCTACGTTTTGATCTAGGTGTGCGATATGTACCATTGGACATACATTTTGTGGTGTTGTTTTGACTGAATTAGTTATTAACCATTTATTCACTTTTTCTTTGGACATTTACATATATCAACACCAATTATTCAAATGGTAGATCGCATCACCTATCTATTTAAAGATGACGAAGAAAGAAGAATAGTCTATTAGTAGTATAAAATTGTATTTACAAATTCTTTACCTTAGTACTACTAAAACAGACGTAGATATTTTTTAATGATAAGTCCGTTCCCACCACCTTCGATGTATATGTAGGGAGAAAGGCTATTTCCTGAGGAGCTTAGAGAGGAGAATGTTTAACTCTTAGTAAATTGAAAATATTCAAATGTATATAATTTAATAATGTAATTTAGTATTTTTTAATATATATTTTTAATAAACGATCGTGGTGATAGAGATAGATGATACAGTTGAGTTTGCTATTTATTATCTATTGTTACTGTATAATGGGAATTCCAATTAGATGTGTGTTGGAAAAAAATACGTTTTATACGGTTCATAACACGTTACGTTGTTAGGCACTTAATGTATATTTTTGGGTAAAATGTCTGTTTTGCTTTAAAGGTGCGAAATTGTTGATAAATGATTGTGTGTATTGTTTTCCATAATGGGATTTCTGGGTGGGGTGTATGCGTGTGAAAAAAAAATTACACTTATCGATGTGTTTGAAAAATAAATATTTTATTATACAATATGTAGGGTGGTGTAGTTGTTGTGATCCTTAATCCAGGTTGTATATACGTTAATGATGGCAGCCCTACAGCATCACACACGCATGACAACAAAAGCCTTTCCAACCAGACATTTATTGTTCGTAATAATAATGTTTTAAGACGTTCTGCTTACTATTAACCATTAATTTCTAAACTTCTTGCACATGTCTCATCGTTGGACGTAGAACAAAAGCGTCTCGCATAATATGTTGTGTATACTGTTTCTCCCTAATCTTTCAGTCTTGTATAAATGTCAATTATTGTTATTTATTAGTAATATCAGGGACTTTATAAGCGTGTAACTGTATGTGTACTAGAAGATTTCTTATCTCATTTTCATACTGAAAGTTATCTTACCAGACTATATAACATCCCTCTCTATTGTATATGACGTTGACCGTTTAATATGTCTAAACAGATATTTATCATTTTTTAACGCTGCATTTGTGCTAGTTCGCTGATTAAATGAATCGGACGGTATATTATAACGGTTAGGTACATTATATTTTATCGAAAACCCCTAAGAAAAGTCTCGGTATTCAAAATAACACGTGGATTGCGCAATATCCTATTTATATTTGATCTATGCGCTTGTTTACTGTGGCGTTTGTTGTCGCAATTGATTTTGCATTAAACCGCATGGAAACAAATTGCCGGTGATTAGCGATTGCGCGCTTTGAGAGAGTGCAAAAAGAAATTTCAAATTAGGTCACGCCTCCGCCATTGAGAGGGTATTTTTTATTTAAGTAATCGGTTCTTTTGTACGGGTAATTTAAATTTTCTATGGTCTCCCGCGAGCGGTCGGCGCGGATACCACCGCTCGTACCACTCTTTATAATATATACATATTATATCTACCAATCTAGTATAGCTGGTATCTTATTATGTCTAGTTGTGTATTTTATAAGCTTTGTCATAGGACAGCCGATCGGATTTTATCGTTTGCCCGCAAAACCGCAACAGCCACGTTTGTTGTTTCACCACCTGCTAGCTAGTGCAATTATACTTTTGAAAATCGTGACACTTTAGAGCACACGAGAAGATGTTATGCGTGATCGCACGACCTCTTCCGGTCTAAAAAAAATATATATATATATATATATTTATGGTAAATTTCATTTTATGTGCTTTTAGGAATCAAAGGAAAATGCCGAAAATCGACAGTGGACCGTTGTTCAAGAAAAGGAAATACGACCGAATGACAAATACTTCAGAGTTCGACAGCGGCCTGAAATCAAAAAAGCGGAAAATGAATTAAAATTATTATTTTTTGTTTTGTTAAATGTTAAACAATGTTTTTAATATTATAACAAGCGTATGTTGTCTCTCAATATAACAATTATATATTTCGTTCCATATTTAAAGCGTCTTAATTTTAATCAGTAAGGTACAATTTTTACTTAGTAAAAATTTATAATATTATAAAAAAATAAACTAAATATACACTTTTAATGCATACAAGAACAATACATAAGGGAGGGGCTTCAGCACCCATATACTCCCTTCTTGTATCTACCCCTTATCATAACAGATGATACATAATTTATTACAGCGCCATTACCTGCTGGGGGTCTTTACCTGCGAATTTTTGATCTAAAACAATCTATTTTAAATTTTACCAGTACTCTGAAACGCGTAATCCGACAACAATTTTGAAAATAGATACAGATTTTTTATACTTATTTGATTTATCGATTGCAGTACAATTTTAATTTTTAATATTAGAGTAAAAATTATTAAAAAAACTTTATAAACTGATATTTTTCAAATAGAAACTATCAGTTACCTGAAATAGTTTTTTAATTGTGCTACTATTGATACCATGTAAATGTGAAGAATGCATATGTTTTTTAAAACTTAAATCGGAGTATTTTTAGGAACTCACTGTCCATTGTTAGAAGAAGAAACATTTTTTTACAAAGCATAAGGCTTGTATGCGTTATTATAAAAGTTAAAAAAGAAATGAAATGTCAAAATAGATCTTTTTTGTATTAATATTATACGAATTACGAGTTAACAAATGTTAGTTCATTGAATTTTATAGAATAATTGCCTATTCAATATGCCTTAATAAATGCCAGTGTAGAGTACCTTTAATCTATACTCTACATGAAATTATGATATCATAAGCTAAAATAAGTAGAATTTATTATTTAGTTTAATTTTTCGTTTACTAATAATGAAAATAAAAGAAGAACATTTTGGAGACAATGAGATATACTTTAATCAAAATAGTTCCTAGAAAAAAGTTCAAGATTTTATAAATTCAGACTGTCCAGGTCACTCAAAATTATTTGGTAACTCGATCTCAAGAAATTTTATATCTAGCTCATGATTATGAATGATTATTTTTTAATCATATTATTTTAGTAATTAATAAACGTTGTGCCTAAATGTTGTATAACTTACACCCTTAAGAAGTAGTGACAGATACTTTGAGTTTTAACATTTTTCCAAATATTTTTACTGATCATTTAATAATTAAAAAAGTTCTATTGCGTTGTTAAAACTAAAAAAAAAAAGTACATTAATAAGCTGGCACCGTAAAACGAAGTCCAGTCAAAAAAATGTTTATGATATCATTATGTTTTGGTAAACAAATTATGTACAAATCATATTGGCAACCAAGTCGTGTACACAATCATACACTAACGAGTGGTATGATCCATGTAAGAGGTTTTAGATATACCTACTATTCTAAAATTATTTTCTTATTCCCTCTATTAAATCATTTATAGTTACTTTATTGGTTTCGCCTTATTAGACTGTCTCAAATAAAAAGGGGAAAGTTTATCTAGACAAATTTTAAGATAATAAAAACTGTGCAGTTTTGTCTGGATTTTATGTATATAAAATACACTTGTGGTGTTAATTCAACCTATTAGTAGGTAGAATTATTAGTTTTTGAGTAAAATAACAATTACAAAAATAATTGGACTTGGAGTTCTTTTTGTGTGAAGAGCGTATGGTAATTAAAAAACTTAAAATAATAATACGGGGGAAAAATTAATCTAATTTATAATACTAAATATAACTTTAATAATATATTTTAACTTTCATAAATCATAATATACTCAAGTGTTAGTTCATATAACATATTACTCGCGGTACACTTTCACGGATTCGTGCTAAAGGGACATAACCCAACGCTTTTTTGGAGAAGATCTCTCGCAAAAAACGTTAACAAAATTATGTATATATCTCTCAAAATCTATGAACCGCTAAAATATATAAATGCTCGATAATAGACGATTTTTAAATATTTTTATTTGCATGAATTATTTCCACTATAAATAAATGTATTATGTAATATGTCGCAATGTTAACCAACAACCGAGCATCAAGAGTCAATAAGAGTCGGACGCATATTTTACCGGAACGAAGATATCATCTGTCCGTTTCAAGTTAGGCGTTGTTATATTATATCTATACTACAATAATAGTAATATCCGACTTTTCTACTATGACGTACCACGTAGGTACTTGTTTACACAATTATTATTATTACTATTGTACCGCGGCTTGCGTATAAAACGAAAACAATAGCTCGTGCATGTCTATGTATTATACTAGTGCTTACTACTTCGATGATTCTATTCTTGTGCGTATATTATAATATCATTGTGTACTTTAAGGGATGACAAATTAATTGGCTGATGGTGCAGTCATGGACGCCGCCGCCGCCGCCGCTGACGCCGGAACGCGCACGCAAGCGCTTCAGGCTCAAGGTTAAACCAATGACCTCATGCCTATGTGTCTTTTACACCAAGGATATTAATAATAATAAGAATAGTGATGATAATAATCTAAAATTCAGATACATAGCTTAAGGTAGTCGTCGGATCACTTTGTTAAGCGTTTTCCATTAATGACTATAGAGCGCGGCGAGACTACCTATACATAAAAGGTGTACGTCGACAAGATAAAGAGAACACTGACGACGAAGAGGAGAAGGAGGCGGTTTACTATGATGAATTTTAATTGTAATGTGCCTTGGCACACCGTCACAATAAGAATGCCGGTAGCGTCGCCATTGTGTTCCGTCGGCGGATTCAATCAAGCCGTACCGCGAGCAAAGCTCATAACAATTTTTAAAGGTCTACCTATGGCATTATAATATACATAAATTACATAATCATGCACGAGCAATGAAGTTAAGTGTACGACTACGGCATAATTTTCGTGTCGGTTAACTTAAGTTATAGCAAAATATAGCGAATCATACATCGCAGGTCTGTAATAAGCAATCGCCCCCAAGTCGCCAGTTCTTAGGTGGTAGGAACTTAAGCCTGTTTTTTAAACTAATGTTTACCATTTAAATGTTTTCAAAATTGTTAACGGCAAATAGTGTGTTACTTGTTGTATTTCGAAAATTTAAATTTGTGTAGGTTTATCAGGTACCTACTTAATATTATGATGTACCTAATGTTAATATGTATGAACTATTAATAATGATCCAACTTGATTGAAACTGAAATATACGCGTTCAAAATAGAAGAAAAAAAAATCAATTTTAGCAAAGGTTTATTATAAATTTCAAACGTGCACCTGGTAGATCTTGATCTACACGTCTAAGATCTATGATTTGATCTATTATCTATTAGTCAATAAAACAACTGTGAATTCTACATGTGTGTTATGACAGTCTGAAGGATAAAAAGGGACAACACAATTTAGTAGTTGGCTTTACTTGATGAATAGTATTTTCGACTAAACATTTACTGAAGTCAACTTTAGTTTAGTTTAACTTATATGTATATAGTGGTAACTTCATCAACAAACTTTTTGTAGATCCCACTGTGTATTCCTTCCCTGTACAACCTTAGGCACTACATAATATATTTTTAAGTCCATTTTAGAAGTTATTGAAGAGACAAATTTAACTGATGTTTAAATTTCTTTATCGTTTTTCGAGCAATCGTTCAGTAATTTATTTTTTCAGTGATCTATTCTGGAACGATGCAGCTCTCATGTATATGATCATAATACTATGTCTTAGTGACGTGCGACACGGTATGGTAACGCCATTAATTTAGCCACAAATGAGTAGCCAAACGTTGTTAACCGTGACAATAAACAGTCTGCTATATACTTAAGCGTTTTTTTTAAGTGTCGAGTGTATATGTGTGTACAGTCTTGTTATATTATTAAGCTTTAAAACGGTTTGTTGGGCCTCTCTTACTATAATTGCAATTTTTAATACACAAACAATTTTTTTTTTTAGTATTAAACCTTAATAATTTATATACACCGGATGGAATATTCTCCAGTCTAAAAATAATTAAAATGTATCATCAAAATAGCAAGTCAGAAGTAAGACAATATTATTAGATTTCTAATTTAGTTCAATATTTATTTATATAATAATTTATAGGTTCAGTTTAATGGTTTGAAAATATTAACCTCACATTCTGATATTGAGTTAAAATGTTATGCAATTCTGGACAAGTTGGCTCAAAAGCCAAGAAAGTCAGAAATTTGTATGTAAACTAGATTTTATTTTGTAATTTGTTTTATATATGTACATTTGTAATAGTAAAAAAATCTGTACAAGTTCTATGTTCTATTTGTAGTACTCGTATACGCTGAGTTATATGGTCCTTTAAGATTTACGGTTCCCTCGTACTATCGTCAATCGGGTACTAATTTTTATGTTGATCATCACCGGTTCATAATATGGCACACACTCACTGATTAATTAATAGGTCTTCAACCATTTGTAATTCTATTAAATTTGATTTATTTTTTGATAATATAAACAAGATTAAAAAATCCACCCTTACTGTCTCTTAATTTATTTGTATTTTTAACTATCTTTTGCATGTATTGATTTGTATTAATTGGTGCTGTTACTCTTTGTGACTCTGTTACGCTTTCGGGCGTTTATGAATAAATAAATAAATAATAACTATGATGATATACCCTTAACATTTAAATATTCGTCGAGACAACAACGAATGATCAACAAAATATTGTTCTTGATTTTTTATTATTGTAATAATAATTTATAATATTAATATTATGTTTTATCGCTTGTGTTTCCTGTGCAATAAAACTTGTCACATGCTGTCAGGTTGCCGGTGATTTTCTTGGCGCGCACATAAGTCAAAATAATTATATCATAACGGGGATAACAACGAATCACTGTCTGTCTTCCTGATGATTAGCACCAGTTTCACGGCTATTTCAAAATAATAATAATGTGAAATATATGCGTATGTGTGCAAAACGCGGCAGAATGATTTAAACGAAGATTCAACGGTTCTAAATAGTTCATTATCCCGATGAGTTTATGCCGTCGGTCGAGCCATCGCACACGGGGAACCGAGTCGGGTCATAATTTATTTTTCAACACTGC